CCCCCCCCCAAAACCCATTTACATTTTAACTTAAGATTCCTAAAAAAAATTACAATATGCAATCCTACCACCAATCAAACTCGCTTTGTAAAACCGGTTCCAGCTGCAGGACATCGCACAATCTTTGCCTAGTTGCTCTAACTATGCGCATAGATATGAATTAAATTCCAGCACATGTTTTCAAATCAAACTGGTTAGGCAACCTCAGCAATCTACAGGTGTGACATCTCTCCCATTACCACCATAACCTCCTCTAGAATCCCATTCTAACAATAGAACACTTGTATATAGATCAACATAAATACTGTTGAGAATGAGATATCCAATTTATATTCCAATATCATCGAGGTAAGGGACTTCCATGATAAAACTTGAAGTTCTTGACTGCGGCCATAGCTCACAACAACCAAGAGTGGAACCTCTAGGTGTTTGCTGAAGACATCCTCGCAGATTTCCTGCAAAAGTATAAGATAGACACAGTTCAATAACAATTCTTGCTAATATAGGAAGAAACATCGTTAGGATTGTTTGAGAAAATTGAATAATGGTATAGAATAGCAAATAACGTTAATGATATATATAGCACTTGTCGCAAAAAATTAAGTCCAGAAATAGTTCAAAGACCTCCCTTCCGCTGTCATACACTTACCTCCCTTGTGATTTAAGATATTAAGATATGACACTTACTTTCCCTTATTTTGAATTTTTTTTTTGGTANCCACCATATGTCAACCTTCAATGCCACGAGATGTGGGCCATTGAGAACTTAATCAACAGCACAAAAACTTTTTTGCATGAGTCGAACTGACCACAAAAGGTGCAACGAAGCAAGAATTGGAAATGGATTAAAGGCACTAGCTAACAGACTAATCACCTGTGCCAAATGCCCTTTCACATCAACGGCACGCTTCTGATCCCATATCCAGAGGAACTATCCGAATCTGCAAAGATAGAGCAGAAATATCAGACACATGCTGTGAACTACTGGCTGCAAAATCAATAAAATTAAACATGCGACAATTATGGTGCATGTAAAGATGAAACATACAAAAGACAGATTAAGTATTACCACTTGAGGAAGACTCTGAATCGCTGCTAGAACTGCTTGGACTACTAGACCTACTTGCATTATCCGCCTGTCTTCCAGCTTCTGCATTTGTAACAGGAGTACTAGTATTATTTTCACCTACTCATAAAACAAAGAACCATGTGCGATGAGTATTTTCCACCTAAAGCATGAATCTTGATAACAATCTGGGACAATAGTTATTTGTATTAAAGGCTTACCAGTATTACTTTTGTTCAGCGCACCAGCAGCCATAGGGGCAGAGTTCTGCAAAGCAATGCCACAAATTAAGAAACCCCTACCAGATACAAATGTAAAAAGAAGGGAGAGAAGGAGAAAAAAAGAGGATATCTTCAAAACTCACCATGACTGGAGCAGTCTGCAGTTTCTCTGGCTTGCAGAGCAAGTTCAGTTTTTCTCCTCTGCTTGTTTAATTTTTTTTGTAATTGGTCACAAACCTATCAAGCTCCCAGAGGGTTTCCGCATCAACACTATCGATGTCTACTTCAATCTCATCATCATGTTGACTAAGTGATGAGTTCCTCTTCTTAATAATCTGAACAATAGCATCAAGCTTCTCTGAAGGTAAATTCTGAAGATTTGTGCTGAGTCTCTGCTTTTCGTCGTAGGTCATATCCCTTTTAGGTTTCTTAGGAACTGGTATCCTACCAACATGAGCAACACGTGACCGCTTCAACCTGAAATCAGCTGGCCCCGTCATTGACTCAGACCTATCCAAAGTCCTTACTTGGGGAGCAGGTGGAGCGACATGAGAAGTTACAGAAGCACGGGGAAAGGGAGAAGGATGAGGGGCCTTTCTTGAAGTGGGGGTAGGCAAACCTGCATCATGATACATTTGATACCTCCAATCCGGATTAAACTCAGTATCTATAACTGTCCACTTCTCTTCAAAAATCTCTGACAACTCTTCCGCCATAACATGAACATCATGTCCTTTAGGATTGTAAGTAATGGCATTACGAAAGACAAGTCTCACATCCTCAGCAAACTCCCTGGGAGACTTGTACCAATTCTGAGATAACCTAGTTTTAATGGTGCCCAAATCCATCGGATGCTTGATGATATCATGATAATCATGCAGCCCAAGCGCCACCACATTCACTGGCTCATTAAACACCCAACCATGCTTGTGTTTCATTAACCTCTGAAGCAGGTTGCTACATCTCTTAAGCATCTGATTTCTATGCTTATCAAAGCCAAAGCCAAAGCTAAATGCATACCCATGCTCTGATTCACTTCTATGCTTCCTCCCAACACCATTGGGCTTCAATTTTTTATTGCTTTCCGGAGGCAGTCTATCCTTCCCAAGAAGGAACTCAGAATCCCTGTAATACTGATTGGCCTTTGGGGTCCTCTTTTCCTTCTCCACAAATTCAGCAGCCCCATTATTGTTTTCCACAACTGCAATCCTAGGTGGCTGGAACGGTCTCGTCTCAGGGTGCCCAACTGAATCCACCTCAGAATTCACTCGCACTAAAGACCTACCCTTCATCACATCATTATCCATATAATGTGGATAACTATAAGAATTAACAGCAGCACCAGGAAAAGCTCTAATCCTACCCACATCATTAACACCACCATTAGTACTAGCATTATGTGTGGTCAGCTGAAGCTCCTTTGCTTCAAGCTTCGTAACTAAACTTCTAATCTGATCAAGCTCGCCCTCTAGCACCCTCCTAAGATCACTAATCTCATCTCTTGACCTCGCTCCTGTTAAATTAATCCAAACTCTATCTGCAACCCTAGAAATTACTGGCTTAACCAACCCATTTGCAGCCTCTGGCTCAGCATGCACCGGGGGCTCTCCTTCACGGCTGCAATCCCGGACTTCCCCACCGTTAGGCTCCACAATTAGGCCACCACCACCACACTCAGGCACATCTTTACCATCTAAACACACTGGTGGTGCACATGTACCTTCCTGCACTTCCCCACCATTTATCAATTCCAATTGCCCATTAGCCGTGGCATCTCTACCATTCAAATTCGCCGGTGATCCACTGGTACCTTCCTGCAATTCTCCACCATTTATCAATTCCACTTGCTCATTACCCATGCCATCTCTACCATTTAAACCCCCTGGTGATCCAAGGGTACCTTCTTGAAATTCTCCACCATTTATCAATTCAACTTGCTCACTATCCCTCCCATCTTCCAAATTACAAAGCGAAGATTCCTTCAATCGAGGCTCTGCCTCCTCCTGATGCTGTAACCGCTGCTCCGGCCGTAAAACATCATTATTATCATTATTGCCGCTGCCCCCGTCTGAGGCAGTTACCTCTGGCACGGCGGCGACTGAATCCCTGGCGCCGGGATTAGGTTCGTTCTTCTGGATCCTACGGCGCTTCCGGGTATAAAATTTGCTAGGGCTTCCCCAACGTAACCTCTCTCGCGGATTCAAATTGTCGGCATCTGAAGCCATACATGAAATCAAACCCTAATCCAAATCACAACCCGAAACCTGAAAATTCCAACAGAATTAACGTAACATGTGCAAAACTAGGGTCCCTCAGAACCCCATGATTCGCATAATAAATAAATAAATAAAATAATCAATTTTTAGGAAAATTGAAGCCGTGCGGAATTAGGTTTTTCTAAGTAAAAGATGAAAAAAAAAGCAACAAAAAGAAAATTAACAAAAGTTAAAGGATCTGTTTAGGAAAAAAAAAAGTAAAAATATTTTTGGGGTAAAATTAGGGTTATAGAGAATTGGGATTTGGGGGCGAAGTGGCAGAATAAACGACAATAAAGATGGAGAGATTTGATTACCTGTTGAGAACAGAGTGTTTTCGGGTTTTCGGTTCGGATCCGAAATCTACTCGCCGGATTTGTATATTGTTTTGCACGTACGTTCTCTTTAAATAAATAAAAAATTGTAGTGACACGCGCTTGTCGAGCCAATCATTATTAAATTTGAAGGCGGTCGTTGTTGTTTGTCACGTCAAAGAGTGGAAGATTGTGGATGACGTAATCAATGAACTTATTTGTTCCGGGAGAAGTTTTATTTTGTATCTCGTACAACTGACACTAGTTGTATGATGCTCCTTTTTGTCTCACAAATTTATAGACCCCAATTTTACACTTTGATCCACAAAAATCTGGGCGCACAAAATTGTGAGACAAAAAAGTTGTCTCATACGACTAATGTCAATTGTATGAGACATAAAATAAAATTTTGCTATTAATACGCTCCCGTGTCGCCTGTGCACTTCATCCGCTCGTGCAAAAAACCCATTTGGAAGAATTTTTTTTTTAAATTATTAATTTGGAGGAGTATTTTTATTAAACGAAAAAGGGTTCAAAATGCTCCTAAACTATTGGAAAAAGTTTAAAAATACCTTCATCTACCTACTGGGCTAAAAATATCCCTCCATCTACCTTTTTGGTTCACGTATGCCCTTTGACCGTTAGGTCAATGCTGAATTAAAAATAGTTATTATTCTTTTTGTAAAACTTAAAAAAAATATTTTGCAAAATATTTTTATTTTTTTAAACTAATGCACCAGTAGTCCATTAATTTAGTAAAGTCTTCTTCTTCTTTTTTCAGTTTTTATTAAAAACAATTCATTTTTTACAAAAAAAAATTCCATATTTTTAAAGCATTTTTTTGTAAAAACTGGAAAAGAAAATTGTGAAATTGAAAAAAAAAATTGTGTTTTAATAAAAAAAAATTTCGTTTTTAAAAAACGGAAAGAATATTTTCAACAAAATATTTTTGTTTATGAAAAGTATATTTTGTTTTCATTTTTTTATTTTTTTTAAAGCATTTCGTTTTATTTTCGTTTTTCAGTTTTTTTAAAGAAAAAATATTTTTGTTTTAACGAAAATATTTTGTTGAAACTATTTTTTCAGTTTTTAAAAAACGAAAATATTTTATTAAAAACATTATTTTCTATTTTTACATTTTTTTTTCATTTTTTACAAAAAAAATGCTTTAAAAAACTGAAAAAATGGAAAAAATATTTTTTTGTAAAACTGAATTATTTTTATAAAAACTGAAAAAAGACTTTACTAAATTAGTGGACTACTAGTGCATTAGTTTTAAAAAATAAAAATATTTTGCAAAATATTTTTTTTAAGTTTTACAAAAAGAACAATAATTATTTTTAATTCAGCATTGACCTAACGGTCAAAGGGCATAAGTGAACCAAAAAGGTGGATATAGGGGTATTTTTAGCCCAATAGGTGGATGAAGGATATTTTTAAACCTTTTCCAATAGTTTAGGGGCATTTTGGACCCTTTTCCATTTATTAAAAAAAATCTGGATGAGTATTTTTAATTAGGATGATGTTTGATCAAAAAGTGCTAAGCTTTTCGTTAAACTAATTAATAAAGAAAATGGAGGATAAATCTTAGCCAAACATAATTAACTCTAGATCTAAGCATATTGAATATGAAAATCGAATGAGGCGGGGCTTATATAACATTTCTTAGGATGATTAAAAGACATCAAACGTAAATGATAAGCTTACATCTTTGATACATTGTTCCGTACTTGTAAGAGCAAAGAAGGAAAAGGAAGGAATATCGTTGATAACTATGATATCTATCTTTATTGATTCAACAATGACGATTACAAAGGTTTGTAACTAAAATCTAGGCTTTTGCTTTGTTGTTGGAGGTCTCCTCTCGTTTTTCTGTTTCTTTTCCTCTTTTTGGGAAACCTCTCCCCTTCTTGCCTTCTTACCTCATATATATATTACCAATACTTCCCCTATATCCAACGGTCCTTAACCAACATACCCCTTTTTGACTGTACTCTTCCTTACTCGCTCAAATAGTACGACATATATTCTACCGTGCAATCCTTCTAACGGCTCGATCTCGGCAATGGCCGAGATACTCGTCGCTATTATGCCTCGTGGGTACGACTATGACTTGGTCGACCCCATATCATTCCTTTTAATAATAATCCACTTGTGGTCAGATTTTGACCCATAAGTTAGTCCTTCCGCCCGTTAGGGTCGCCTCTTGGCGAGCACGATGGGCGGATTCTGTTGATTCAAAAATTAGGAGAAATCTGAACATGTTATGCGAAGAACGAGGTCCTTATGGCAAGGTAGAGACGTGATGCTTCAACAGTTTCCTTGGATCATTACGTTAGTTCAGAATTAGATCGTCACATCAATTTAGAGTATCATGAATGCTTATTATGCGTCATTATGACGCACGTTTTCTAGGCACTGTAAGCACGTGATTTTTGCCCTATATGAGAATTACTCCCAAAAATTCAAAAATAAAA